GTTCCGTTCAGACACTCTACTAGCAATGAAGGTTTATTGTGTACGAGCGTGTATTGTGTTATTGTGCATGAGCGTGTTCCTGGCAATCAGGGGATTAAATGTGATGACTGGTGTACTGACAGGCAATCTGACGCCATCTGGGAGGAGCGTAAAAACCATGGGAGCGCGGATCTATATATAGCCAGTATTTCTGTTACTTTAAATGACAATTGCGCAGTCATGCAACGCTGCACCCAAATGAAATTTACATCCTTTTTTCCCCACGAATTTGATCGTCTGTGCATTTTTTATTTTTTATGCTATTAAAAAAAGACCGACCATTTTGAGGAAAAAAAAATAATATTTTGGACATTTTGCTATAAAACATGTCCAGGAAAAATCAAATTTTGCCATAAATTTCGGCCAAAATGTATTATGCAACATGTCTTTACTAAAAAAAAAATCCCAATACGTGTAAATTAATTTTATTGAACAAACCTCCTAATGATAACAGTATTTTTTTTAAACATAAAAACTTACAATGCACTGTTCCACATTATTACGCACAGTAAGTTTCAAAACACCTTATAGGTTGTAAACAACTGAAAATTGTCATTTGTTGTGTTTGCAGCATATTTACTGAAATCAAAAGCTATTTCAATCAAACTTTTAACAACATTTTAACTTTTTAAACATTTTAACAGGTCACATTACATTTTAACATAGGACCCCTTATTTGATAGCAGCTTCACAAGTCTTGCATCCATTGAACTTGTGAGTTTTTGGACAGTTTCTGCTTGAATTTGTTTGCAAGATGTCAGAATAGCCTCCCAGAGCTGCTGTTTGGATGTAAACTGCCTCCCACCCTCATAGATCTTTTGCTTGAGGATGCTCCAAAGGTTCTCAATAGGACTGAGGTCATGGGAGGATGGAGGCCACACCATGACTTTCTCTCCTTTTATCCCCATAGCAGCCATTGATGCAGAGGTATTCTTTGCAGCATGAGAAGGTGCATTGTCATGCATGAAGATGATTTTATTACGGAAAGCATAGTTCTTCCTTCTGTACCAGGGAAGAAAGTGGTCAGTCATAAACTCCACATACTTTGCAGAGGTCATCTTTACACCTTCGGGGACCCTAAAGGGGCCGACCAGCTCTGTTCCCATGATTCCGGCCCAAAACATGACTCCACCACCGCCTTGCTGATGTCGCAGCCTTGTTGGAACAGGGTGGCCGTCCACCAACCATCCACTACTCTATCCATCTGGACCATCCAGGGTTGCACAGCACTCATCAGTGAACAGGACTGTTTGAAAATTAGTCTTCATGTATTTTTCTGCCCAATGCAGCCGTTTCTGCTTGTGAGCATTGGTTAGTGGTGGCCGAAAAGAAGGTTTATGCACAGTTGCAAGACTCTGGAGGACTCTACACCTTGATGTCCGTGGGACTCCAGAGGCACCAGCAGCTTCAAATATCTGTTTGCTGCTATGTAATGGTATTTTAGCAGCTGCTGTCTTGATCCGATGCATGGATCTGGCAGAAATCTTATTCAATGTGCCTTTATCTACACAAACCCGTCTGTGCTCTGAATCAGCCACAAATCTCTTAATAGTGCGATGATCACGCTTAAGTTTTGGTGAAATATCTAATGTTTTCATACCTCGTCCAAGGCATTGAACTATTTCACTCTTTTCGGCAGCAGAGAGATCCTTTTTCTTCCCCATATTGCTTGAAAATGGTGCTCTGCTTAATAATGTGGAACACCCACCTTTAGTAGTTTTTCCTTAAATTGGGCTCACCGGCCAATCTAATTATCACAGGTGTCCGAGATTGTTTTCAGTGATCAAAAGAGCCCTGACACACAATGCCATCCATGAGTTAAACTGAAAAACAAAATATTTCATCTTTGTGACACTTAAATAGAATTTGCATAATAATTTGGAACAGGGTGTAATGATGTGCATAGTACCACTGGATTGGTGTAAGGCCAATGTGGTGCCTATATTTAAAAAGGGGTCAAAATCTTTACCAAGTAATTATAGACCTGTTAGTTTAACCACTTGCCCTCCGGAGGATTTACCCCCGTTCCTGACCAGGCCATTTTTTTACGTTACGGCACAGCGTTACTTTAACTGACAGTTGCGCGGTCATGCAACTCTGCACTCAAATGAAATGTACATCCTTTTTTTTTTCCCCCCCATGAATTAAGCTATCTTTCGGAGATATTTGATCGCCTGTGCGGTTTTTATTTTTTACGCTATAAAAAAAATACTGACAATTTTGAGAAAAAACCCCCAATATATTTGACTTTTTGCTATTAAACATGTCCAGTAAACAAAATTAAAAAAAATCAAATTTAGACGAAAATGTATTTTGCTACATGCTTTTGCTAAAAAAAAATCCCAATACCTGTAAATTAATTGGTTTATGTGAAAGTTATAACATTTACAAATGGGGGTATATATACTAGGATTTTTTTTTTCTATTTTTACTAGTAATGGTGGCGATCAGTGATTTATTGTGGGACAATAGTGGGCATTCTAACACTGGGGGGAACTGACTTGCTAATAAAAAGCACTGACACTGTACTAATTGCACTGGGCAGGAAGGGGTTAACATGAGGGGCAATCAAAGGGTTAGTTAACTGGGTGCTGTTTTACATAGTGCTGTGTCCCTGTGCTTCACTGTAAGCACACTGCTTTCCATGGCTGTGCTGTGCACAGCCATCCATAGCAGTGTGCACGAGCTGACAGGGAAGAGAACTGTTTTGTTTACAAACAGTTCTCCGCGTCAGAGATGCTCAGCAATCACCGGGCGCCAGTGAGGAATCGCCGTCCGGGACCCGGTGATTGGCGGCGCAGGGAGGCCGCACGCCCCCTACCCGGAAAGGCAAAATCACATGTGTATATATACGTGATTTTGCGCACCCGTGCTGCCCTATAGCAGTATATCTGCTATAGGGTGGTCGGGAAGCAGTTAACATCTATCGTTGGGAAGATACTTGAGAGTTTAATAAAAGGCCACATAGATGAGTTCTTGCTGGAAACAAATATTTTAAGCAACAGACAGCATGGATTCATGAAAGACAGAAGTTGTCAAACAAATCTGATTTATTTTTATGAGGGGGTGAGCAAAACCTTGGACAGAGGGGTGGCGGTGGACATGGTATACTTGGATTTTGCAAAAGCATTTGACACAGTTCCCCACACAGGCTTGGAAAAATCTGTATGTAAATGGATAGAAAACTGGCTGAAAGATCGTATTCAAAGAGTAGTGGTTAATGATTCATACTCTGAATGGTCTAGGGTTGTCAGTGGTGTACCCCAAGGTTCAGTGTTGGGACCCTTACTTTTTATTATATTTATAAATGATATAGGGTCTGGGAGTAAAAATAGTTTGTCTTTGCAGATGACACCGATCTGTGCAGTGGAATAACTTCCTCACAGGATGTCTTCAATTTACAAGCCAACCTCAGTGCACTGTTTAATTGGGCAATGTGGCAAATGAGGTTTAATGTTGATAAATGTAAGATTATGCACTTGGGGGCTAAGAATATGCATGCATCATACATACTAGGGGGGAGTTCAACTGGGGGAATCAATGGTGGAGAAGGATCTGGGAGTTCTGGTAGATCACAAGCTTAAGAATGAGTAAGACCTCACCTGGAATATGCAGTTCAGTTTTAGGCACCAATTCACAAAAGAACATTGGGGAACTGGAGAAAGTGCAGAGAAGGGCAACCAAACAAGAGGCATGGAGGAATTCAGCTATAAGAAAAGATTAGAGGAACTGAATTTATTCTCTTGTGAAGTGGATCTTAAGGGGGGATATGATCAACATGTATAAATGCATTAGTGGTTCATATAGTGAACTCGGTGCAGAGCTATTCACCCTGAGGTCATCACAGAGGACAAGGGGGCACTCTTTACGTCTGGAGGAAAAGAAATTTAATCTCCAAATACGGAAAGGTTTCTTCACAGTGAGAGCTGTGAAAATGTGGAATAGACTCCCTCAAGAGTTGGGTCTGGCCAACTCAGTCGATTTGCTTTAATAAAGCCTGGATTCTTTCTTAGATACAGGGAATATCCGATTGCCTCTCGGGGGATCAGGAATTAATTTTTTCACCTGCAGGAGCAAATCGCATCATGCTTTGCTGGGTTTTTTTTTTCTTGCCTTCCTCTTGCTCAACTGTGGGTATAGGAACTGTACCCACTGTCGCCACTGCCCACCAACCGCTTGGTAGTTCTCAGCCTTATCTGAGAAACCATTGATCCCGGCCCTGGGCATAGAGTTGAGTGAAGGAAAGATAGCCGCCACTCATCTCTATGCTCTTGGAGGATCGGAGCGATGTCACTTCCCGTTCCAACCATTTTTTTTTTTTTATTTTTTTTTTTTTTAAAGCACTAGATCAATGCTTTATTTTGATCCAGTGCTGTACATTATCTCTCCATAAAGAGGACCTGTCACTAAGTATTGGGGGACAGTGCAAACCCCCCCCCCCCGCCAAAAAAAAAACAAATTAATTTTAAAACAAAAGTTTAAAGTGCCCCTGTCCTCCCGTGCTTGTACTTAGTGGTGAACGCATACGTAGGCCATGCCCACATATGTGAGGTATCGCCACGAACGTCAGAGCAAGCGCAATAATTCTGGCACTAGACCTCCTCTGTAACTTTACACTGCTAACCTGTAGAAATTTTTAAAGCATCACCCATGGAGAATTTTTAGTACCGCGGTTTCACTCCATTCCACGAACGTGCGCAATTTTAAAGCATGACATGTTTGGTATCTATTTACTCGTAACATCCTCTTTCATATTTTACAAAAAAATGGGGGTATATATTGTTTTTTTTTTTAAATCAGTGTATTTTTTGCCCAAAAAATATATATTCATTTTTATAAACTGCGCATTTTGGTTTTCAGCCAAGTGCATTTTAAATTTTCGGTTTCGGCACGAGAATTTTCATTTCGGTGCACCACTACTGTAAATAATGCTAATCACTTTTTATAAAAATATTTTTCAGGTAGCAGAGATGAGGCGGACATTGACTCCCTCAAATTCTCCTATGTCCTCTCCAAGCAAGCACGGAGATCGATTTATTCCATCCAGAGCTGGTGCAAATTGGAGTATTAACTTCCACAGGATAAATGTGAGTGATTAACCTTCAAGTGTATGTACACCCAGTCACTGAAATCTTATGTTGCTTTAACATACAAAAGGAATTTTTAACGTGTGTCTGCTGTTACTTATTTTTCTTACATTGAGTCCTCCCACCTGTCTTGGCCCCCATTTACACTTGGCTATTCCATTCTAATTGTCCCTTTTCACGCTTGTATGCTCATTTGCCCTACACTCAAGTTTTTTCTTTTATTTAGTTCCATAGACTTCAATGGGAACACCTGATATTCGCATGTTTTTGCACCTTTTAAGAATTCCTCTCCTCCTACAGTACTGCTCTTCTCCCCTTGCCCAGCCAAGGAAACAAACAGAAGCATAATTTGTGTGCAAAAATGACTAAAAGAAAACACTTCACAGCTGAGCAGAGCATATGCTCTAATGATTTTGAATGCAGGCTTCTGCTCTACTGTCTCCGATCCAGCAAGATGCCGCATATAAACTTGTCAAATCTTTGAGCCAGTCCCACACATGCTCTGGCACTCTCATCCATCCATTCGGAGCGTTCATATTCCACCGGAGTGCAAACTCTCTATAGAAACTAATGCAAGTGCACGGCACATGGGTGTGAGTGACTTTGAAGATTTTAGCAATTGTGTCTGCAGCATCAATGCAATATTTTGCAGGATTGGAAGTGACTGGGTGCACATCAAGTTATAAATAATGTACAGAAGAATAAGAAAAAAATACCTTTCTCTTTCATTCATTGACGGACACAGCATCTTCCATTCTCGACCATAGGGTTACATCACCAACTACACGAGTTGGATACTAGGCAGAAAAAAAGAAACTCTGCACCGCTTTTGGGCAGTCCTGGCTGCTATAAACCCCCTCTCTGCATAGGCAGTCCAGTTTTTTGCTGCCTCCAGTGTTCAGGAGTAGTGACCTTGCTCCCTGTCGGTACCTGCTGTTCCATAGGAATTTGTTTTTTTTTTTTTCTTTCTCAGTTTTTCCTTTTTTTCCTGCGGAGATCAACAGACGGGCTGGATAATATAGATTCAGTGGTCATCCCAGCCTGGCCAGCGAGCACGTGCAGACCTTAACCAAGCTCTGGGTTGGAGCGGCCGACGAGTTAAATGCCTTGCAGGAGTACATATGACTGGGATCTGGACGTCCACGCTACCTTGGCCGACAGCCCCCCACTTCGGTGGAGAGGTGGTTTTGTCTTTGGAGCATACCTGCAGCCTCTCTGGAGTGGTAACATTTCCCCCCCCCCTTCTGGGTATGGTGCACAGGTGCTCCCTGGGATGGTCGGCCCTGTGGGGTCCCCTCCTCCCTGCCAGACTCTTTGTATTGTCAGATTTGCTTCTGGGCCCCCCTCCACTGCCCTATCTTGGTCTGAGCCACCTTGTGTGCTAGCAGTTACCGTGCGGTAGTGTACCAGGCTGTCCTCTAGCTCTAACAAGTTGTAATTCTTGCCTGGCTTGCTGTGGGAGTGGTGGGTGCCATGTGATGCTGCTGCATGGCCCTGTGGCTGGTTCGTCGGGCTTATTGTCCTTTTCCTTGCAGCCACCTTCCCAAAGACCTTGCTGCCACTAGCCCTGCAGCAGCCTGTTCTAATCTATTGGGCCTTGCTAGTGCCAGGGCTCCGGGGGGCAGGGCTATGCTGGTCATTTTCTTGGGGTCTGGCTTTCTTCCTCCAACAGCTTAGTCATACAGTCTGGTGGCCATGTGTTTGGTGTCTGCATTGCCCAATAGGTGCTTGGGCTTTGGTGGGCGTGGTTTCGGCAGCCATTTTCTTGTAGTCCCGCAGCAGATTCTTTGCTACCTCAACCCATGTGGATCTCATGGGCAGCTGTTGCCGGGCGTCCTGCTATTCTCGATGTGTGGTGTTCCACGTGGCTGCTCGACCTGCTTACTTTGTGAGGGGACTGCAGCTCTGCACGTGCCTTGGTGGTTAGTCCTGGTGGGGTATCCTCTCTGCTGGCCTTGTATTACTTGGTTTGGGGTTCCTTGCGGCTAGTGGGTCTCCCTAGCAGTGCATTTTCTGTGGGTCCCCTTCCAGAGATGGAGCCTCAGGACCATGTTTCCTCACCTTATCCCCCTCTTGAGGCTGTGGGACCCTCTGCTGCTGCTTTTGCACACGGGAAGGCGCTGGTGGACGCACTTATTATCTTTGTGTGAGAAACCTTAAAGATGGAGGATGCGTCTGGGGCGTTCTCTGAGATGTCTGCCCCCTTTTGGCACGCACAACCCACAGCATGCGGGGAAATGTGTTCTCCTATCCTCCTTATTTTGACAAATTTGTTTACAAGGATTGGATCCCAAGAGGCCTGTGGACTGTGCCGCCTGTCGTGGACCCTCCAAACTACTTTGCCATGGCCTGGGGGGGGGGGGGGCAAGTTCCTCCAGCTTATGTGGAATTTGCGGACTAGCTGGTCCAGGGCCTCAGGTTTGTGTGTGACGCATCCCTGGATATGGCCCTTTTTGCTTTCCAAGGTTTCCGTTTTCAGCTGTGGTGCTTCGGCGTGTACTGTAGCTCAGTTGTTGGTCTGCAAACAAGACCTCAAAGAAGGCACTCACGGATTTTCCCTTCCAGTGTGTTCTCCTCTTTAGGGCCACCCTGGATGACGTCATAAAAAAATCTTACTGTGGGGAAGAGTACTTTTCTTCCTCAGTCCCGACGGGGGAAAGAACAGTGTCACAAGCACGGTCCTTGTTTTTCTGCACACCGAAGGTTTTTTTGTGGAGGGAGCTGAAAGTTTGAGTTGCCAAATGTCAGCCACCAAACCTTAATGACTTGGAGAGGATCTGCCAAGAGGAGTGGGCCAAAATCCCTCCTGAGATGTGTGCAAGCCTGGTGGCCAACTACAGGAAACGTCTGATCTCTGTGATTGCCAACAAGGGATTTGCCACCAAATACTAAGCCATGTTTTGTGAAGGGGATCAAATACTTATTTTCCTCATGAGCATGCAAAAGATGGAGTCTTCTCAAATGCTGTACATGAATGGTTTCTGTCCCCCTTACCCCCCCCCCCCCCCCGTAGTTTTTATTTGTTTGCCCACAGGTTTCTGTTCTCTGTATTTAAAACCTATTTGGTGATGTGGCCAGTAACATACTTTGTTGTAGGGTGGCTCCACTATGTGGAGGAAAAGCAGAGCGTTCGATGCACTCACAAATTCAGATGGACTTGTAAATACACTTGTTGGTTATCGACAGTACTTTCCTCACGCTGTCACAGCCGATAAGTCACTACCAATAACTGTCAACTGTCAAAGGAGACCTCTACACTGATAATCAGGGCAGCCTCAAAGGTGACCTGCAGTGCTGCCCATCTGTGCCAGTCAGTGTCCTTCAGTGCAGCCTCATTAGTGCTTCCTCAATGCCCACCAGTGCTGCCTATCAGTGCCTATCGGTACTGCCTATCAGTGCAGCCTCATCAATGCACATCAGTAAAGGAGAAAAATTACCTGTTTGCAAAATTTTATAATAGAAACAAAGAAAAACGTTTTTGTTTTGTAAATTTTCGGTCTGATTTTAGTTTATAGTGCAAAAACTAAAAAAAAACATTTGATTAAATACCACCAAAAGAAACCTCTATTTTGTGTAAAAAATAAATACATTTTTATATGGGTACAGTGTTGCATGAACAAGCAGTTGTCATTCAAAGTGCGACAGCGCTGAAAGCTGAAAATTTGGCCTAGGCAGCAATGGGATAAAAGTGCCCTGTAGGTAAGTAATTAAAGTCGAAAAATGAGACTTAAAGTAGTTGTAAACCTCAGACAAGAAAAATGAACAAAGCATATCCCCTTATAGTATGTAATTGTCTCGATTAAGAACACTGAGTGTCATTTCTGTCTGCTGCTTAATTCCTCTATCAGTATGAGTTACTTTGATAAGTTTTCCTGACACTAAGAGAAAAAAGGTGACCGGAGGGATCTCCAGCACACAGCCTGTGATTGACAGCCTCAGATCTGTTCCTGTGACCTTTGTGATGAGGGGTTTGTCCCTTCTCTCCAATCACTCTCAGAGCTCACCTCACTGAGCTGTGCAGAGTGTAACCTCCCTCCCTGCTTTCTGGAAGTTTAGACAAGCTTTATAAATTCTGCACTTTGAAAGGTTGTAGAGAGGAGAAGACTGCAGATAAACAGGTGTAACTTATGTAGGAGGATTTGTTTCATCTCTGTGTATCACCTAAAGCCAGTCACTTCACTGGGTATTGTAGCAATCATGCACACAGAGATGGACGCGATCATCCATTTTGCTCCAAACCCCTCCATTTTGTATCTCTCTCTCCCAAATCAGATTCCTCCGATATCCCCCCTCCCTCTCTGTTGAGTGACATGTGGTCTGTTTGATGCAGAGTTCAAAAGGCAACAGGCCCCAGTGGGAGAGCTCCATGGCTATAAAACCCTCAGTCGAGCTGTGTTAGATTCCTGTTAGCTTCGCAATCTGGGATATCATAAAAACATAAACCAAGTCCTTCACTGAGTTCACAGACATTCCAGGTAGTTGTGAAAACAGACTTACATTTAAAAACTCACTTTTCCATATAATTTTATATCTTCAAATAGGAAATAATTACACAAACATGGAGCACATATTCGGATGGCTCACTCTAATACAAATCGCCTGATACATTACACCACCCATCTGACCTATACAGGAGAGCAGAAAATTATATCTCCTGAACCATTCAAGCAGATATGTCATATTTCATATCTAACCGTTCAGCAGATGCGTCTGCATATTAATCTAATAGTGGCAAGGCTGCTAAATGCACTGAGAATAAGTTATGAAACATGACATCAACTGCAAGAGTTTTTGGTTCTATCTTGGGTCTCCGCCCCAACAACCCTCCCCTAATGAGGCGATTGGTTCTCTGCTTCAGGGAGACACCCTGCTGAGTTCCTAGAAAAAGCTAAGCTGGGCTGAGTTGAGCTAAGTTGAAGAATCTCCCTTTTTAACATTGGAACTAACTTTGGGAGATAAAGCATTCTTTTGGCTCATAAAACCTGATCTGTTTAAACCAGGACATTTGACAAGTACTTTACCTCTCTAAATTCCTTTCTGTTATCTCTGCTGTGCTATTGTTCTCTGTATATTTATATATATTGGCTACATCTTTTTCTGTAAATATTTTTATTGTACCCTTTTGACCTTTTTAGTAATAAATCTTACTTTCTGAAAGTGTTGAACTGTTTCTAAAGCTCTTTAATGCAAACTAAAGAGCCTCTGAAAAGTGCTACTGTATGTGTGTGTGTGTTTTAAACTTCAGTATATCTCTGCCTGCGGTGACAGTGGTATACCGACGATTATTCAAACATCATAGTGTTATTGCTGATATTGCCGAGTTTCCTCTTTCTCTGTACAAAAAGGAGGTGATGGCAGTCTGAAGGGTTAATTGCGTAATTAACCTGACCCAGTAACAATTGCTCCCAGGCTGCAGGTACACAGGTTGTGGTCCATTAGCTGGAAAATCTGTGTGCAGGGTGCAGCTGGGCGTGGCATTCTTACACACGTGACAGCACGGTTTTAGATTTGCTAGTCCTTCAGTCACAAGTTTGGTGAGAAGGGCTGGGGTCTGACACCGTGATCGTCACAGGTATATGTAAGGGTTTACAACCACTTTAAAGGGGAAAAGAAAATGAATGAAGCCACCACGTTTAAGAATTGGTAAGCTGCCATAACAAATTTTTCTTCTTGGGTTTAGATATGCTTTAAGGGGTTACAACCATCCCCTCTGGATCCAGTGACACTTACTGTACATTTCTGCTGAAGTAGAGGTTTGAGCCTTTTGTTTACCTCTCATTTTCCTTCCTGGTTCTAGGTAACTGGTTGTTATCAGCAAAGAGTTACTTAACTAAGGCCCCTTTCACACGGCTTTTCAGATGAGGTCCTCCTGGAAGTTTTTCAGGCAGACCTGATTGGAAGATCCATTCTTCCCTATGGACAGGAGGAAGTAAAAAGATTTGTGTCCATTTACACCCACCGACCTCTGGGTCCAATCTGGTCTACCAAAAAAAAGCAGAGTCCATTTACGCCCACCCATACAGCACAGCGGACTCTGGTCGTGTCCACTCTGCAGAAACTGAGCAGACCCTGGTGTAGCCCACCCGCTCTGCTCCGATCAGCAGAGGATCTGTGAGCTGATCTGCAATCAGTCCTGTGTGAAAGGAACCTTATGGTAACTATTTTTGATATAACACATTGGCTGCAATCAGTTTTGTAGTATTTCGGTTTGTGATAAATAACATTTTTTTTTTCTTTTTCGTTCAGGAAAACGAGAAATCCCCAAGTCAAAACCGGAAAGCCAAAGATGCTACATCAGATAGTGGAAAAGGTGTGTTTTTGTTTTGGTTTTTTTTTATACATATCAGTGAATGTAATAAGATAGCATCACTTGTTTTAATTTATACTGTATCAATGTATAAAGAAAAATTTAATTTTTCTTAAATGTAATCTGTTAGATATACAGTAGGTTAACTCACTGTAATGATTCTTCTTCCTTAAGGGTCAATTTACTACTTTGGTTATGCAGTAGGTAACATGCATTCTGCAAGGCATGTGCCATTGTGCATAATTGTAAATGGGGGTGAAATCTCTAACTATATGATTCCACCATAGCAATTTTAATTAAGCTAGCTATGGTGGATTTGGAAGCACTGCAACCCTACTGCGTTCCCGCAAAAAGAACAAATAGAGAAACTGATTCTACTAAGACCTACCACTACATACCTACTAAGATAGGCGAAAAGGCTGCTAACATTTAACAAAGTTAATCTTTCTTCCTCCTTGTTTGTGGGAGCAGAACAGAAGGTCTGCAAAATTATATCTTGGGACCTATGAAAGGAGGCGGAAACTTTGGGAAGAAACCCAGGATCCATTTTGAGAACAATTCCATCCTCAAAAACTGACAAAAAGGAAATGAAAAGCGCCTACAATTCACTAACCTTACCGGCTGATGTGAGTTAAAAACTTTATTGAAGACTTCTCCAGAGGTTCAGAGGGACAAAGAACTAAAGCTTTTAAGACTAAAGACCGATCCAAAACTGGACAGGACCTGACCACCGCTGGCCTGGACTTGGAAAGGGCCCTGAAAAAAATCAGTAATATTTGTAGTGACAAAAGGTTCCTGCTAGCAAAAGACCTGAAAGAAAACACAAAGGGCCAAGGCCTGCACCTTTAAAGTACTAACCGAAAGGCCCTGGTCTGCCCCATCCTGGACAAAATCTAAGACCACTGGGATATCCAGAGTGCTCCGACCATGATCCCACATCCAGGAGTTGAATCTTTTCCAAACCTTAGTATAAATAGCTCTGGTTACTGACTTGCGGCAGTTCAAGTCCTCACTACTCTGTCTGAAAACCCCTGAGCTTTCAGGAGCTGTTCTTCAGTAGCCACACTGCCAACTTCAGAGTCTTCAGCTGAGGGTGCAGCGCCAGACTTTGTGAGACCAGATCCTCCCTCTATGGAAGAGGGAATGGAACCGAGGAAAAGCTCCACAGCAGAGAGAACCATGGTCTCTCTGGCCAAAATGGGGCCACCAGAATGAGGCTTATCTTTTCTGACAAAAACTTTCTCAGGACTGCTAGGATCAGCCTTACTGGAGGAAACGCATAACAGAGACTGAATTTCCACAGATTTGCGAGGGCATCTATCCCCAAGGCCCGAGCCCGCGGATCTAGGGAGAAGAACCAGCTGACCTTCCTGTTCTCATGTATCTTAGAGACCGATTGAGAGGGCGCAGGTTTAAGATGAGGCAAAACTTGCCTGAGGGCTTTTTCACCACGAAAACATGGGAATAAAATCCCATACTCTGCTTGTTCCGAGGAACCCTGAGTAAGGACTTGTTGATCCACAAGGTCTCCAATCAGGCCACATAGAGCCTGTGCTCCAACCTGTACTCCTTTCCTACCAAGTCCAGAATGTACGGGTTCGGAGAGATTGAATCCCACTGAGGGAGAAAGGTTCCTAGTCTTCCTCCCACTGGGACGCTCGAGTCATTGAGACTTGGCAGGGCCTTAAGGAGGATTGAATAAGATCCCCCCTTAACCCTTGTTCTTGTGCCCTGTCCAATGTTTCTTAGGCTGGACATCCTTACTGTGCTGGCCCTGCATTTTTCTGGCGAAAAAAACCTCCTGGAGTAAGATCTCTTTTTACTCTCTGGAAACGCCCTTTTTTTTTCTTTTTAGGCGGCCGTACACTCCAAGGCTTCCTGGAGACCTGGACCGAAAAGGTTATCACCTGAAAAGGGTAAGGCACAAAGGCGCAGCTTGGACACTGAATGCCCTGCCCAGGTCTTCAACCATAATGCCCTTCTAGCCGAGTTCACCAGGGCAGACGTCCTTGCAGCTACTTTAACTGATTCGGCCGAGGCATCAGCGAGGAAACCTACCACTCTAAACAGCAAAGGAAAGGATTTCAATATTTGTTGCCTAGAAGTCCCTGCCAAGAGATGTATCTAACTGGCTAAGCAAGCATTCAAGATTTCTGGTGTCACAGGTGGCCGATAAAGCCAGCTTAAAGCTGATGGAGATAGAATCCCAGGCTTTCTGGAGCAAAATTTATCCTCTCTCTTATCCATAGGATCCTTTAGAGCCCCCAGATGCTAGGTCCGTCTTCTTAGAGACTTTGGAAAACAGGGCGTCCAACTTTGGAACTTTGTTCCATGGCTGGGATCAGTCTTACTCAAAAGGAAATCTCCTTTTAAGACTACCAGACAAAAAGGGCTTCCTTTCAGGGTTCTCCCACTCCAGTTTGATGGTATCAACCAGGGAACTATGGACTGGAAAGAAACGAACCGTCTATGGCCTGCATTAGAGAGGACAAAGTATTTGCAGTTCACTCCTTGCTCACAGGTTATACTAATTAATCCTAATTGTTTCTATTAGTTACCTGGGTGTGGCTGCCTCACAGGTGTTTTGGCTTGCCTTCCTACACGCAGGACAATTTCCAGACTGTTAACACAACTCAACTGGCAGAAATTTCACATCCACCTGTCTCTGAGCCTTCTGTTTCTTTACAGAGTTGGAGAGGCTGAATTATAAATCTTCCTAGCTTTTCACAATGGCCTTGTTTGCTGGTGACCCCCGACCGTCACTCACTCTGGATCAGGATGTATAGACCTCATATAATATGGTTTGTGGGGCCACATTCACTGATCCTTGCCATACATGTTTACTGGGGTAGAGATGTGTGTCTTTGAGTAGGTCTACAGCCTTGGCATAGTTTTTGTTGGGACTAAGGTCTTATGGTGTATTCTACATCTAGTATCTAATGTTCAGTAAACAATTTGTGCTACTTGTTTTGCCCATGGGATAGCCTGGGTTTTGGACTGTCTGTGCAGTTGGAGTACAGTCCAAAATGCATTCAACTGCAGCCAGCTGTGTTAGGTGTGAAGGAGCCCTGAGTTGTGCAAATCCAGGGTTTATTTATACATCTTGCGGCTGTATTTGACCTCTGCCACCTGTAACTCTAGAGGTACTCCAAAGTGGGGGGTAACCTTTAACACTAAATCTTTTCACATATGCTTTACTCATGAGCACTGGTGTTATCTATCTTGTGCCACAGTGATTCCGTCTTCATAGCTTCCCTTGAGCATGGGTAGAACTTCAGTTTCTCCAAAGTTTTATAGTATTTTTGGAATGTCTTGTGTTTTGCATTGATTCACTTAGTGTAGTGTTGCTGCAAATGTACATTTACAACCCCAACTCCATTTTTTTTTTTTTGGGGGGGGGGGGGGGGGTCTATCCTGTGCAACAATGTTATACCTCTTCCATGGCTTCCTGTGTAGATGGTATAATAGTTGATATTGCTGCATTTATGTAGTGTCTTGCCCAGTTATATGATCATCCTTGGGCATGCCTTGGATATGTTGCAATTCTGTATTCGTGCCATTTCAGACTTCATTTCAGGTTTTTGCCTAACTGCTAGTTATATATGCTTCTACTATTTGTTTATGGTTGTCAGTTACCTTGATGACATTATGCACCGCTATACTCTCCCCTCAGAGAAAGAGTGCATTTAGAGGCTTGTTCCAAGTGGCAGGAGGTGCCCAAAGCACCTCCATATAATAAAGTTTATTGTGTACAGTATAGCTTGCTGTTCTTACTCAGGGGAGAATAACATGGGTCACTGAATGAAAATGTATATCTCAAGGCACTGGGCTTTCTCACATTCGTATACAAGGACGTAGGTGGTGGAAAGTCACTAAACGTAATGTTTTTGTAGTGGATCCTTCTGTGCCTATATTCTATATAGGGTGGCGTTTCTATATCTCCACCATAGTTACTACTTAGTCATCCCATGTAGGGTCTGTTCGGGCTAGTCTCTTCTCCACTTTGCTGTCAAGTTCTTCAGTTACCCTGTTTTCTTTTGCCCACACAGACTTTAGGGGCATTCATTAGTCCTTAGTTGACAAGGGCCTCACTAAAGCTGGCTCTTTTAGTACGGATATTGGTTTTTTGGAATTGGTCCACTGTAACTTTAAGCTTTCCTGACTTAGTTTTCCCTGCAGCTAGGTCCCCTACCTTGGTCTTTCACTCTGTTGAAAATTTATTACAACCGGGTTCACCAAATCTATGATATTTTATGGTCATCTTGAAGGTAGTAAAGGTCTTTGAACTTTTAATGACCCTCTCTAATCTAGTAAGTTCTTGCTAATCATCTCATGGGCTGTCCTGGAAGACTATTTGGGAAAACCGGAGTTAGACCGGTAACTCTGTTTCCAGGAGTCTTCCAGGACACCAGATTCCCACCCTTGTGTTATTTTCATTTTAGATTTTATTCATGTTTTCGTCCTTCGGTTCTTGTTTAAAGCTGACCACTTCAGCAGAGCGACTTCCTTTTAAAGTGTACTTGTGTTTCCTGTTCCTGTTGGAGGAGGTGCCTATATCTCATGGGCTGTCCTGGAAGACTCCTGGAAACAGTTACCAGTAAGTCTAACTCCGGTTTTCCAAGCCTGCAGACTCTACCTTACACATTAGTCGTGTGTGGGGAACTAAGGCAAATGCTTTTGCAAAATCCAAGTATACTACGTCCACAGCGACTTTGTCTAGGGTTTTGCTTACTACCTCATAAAAAGAAATACGATTTGTTTGACGTCTGTCTTTCATGAATCCATGCTGTCTGTTACTTGAACTTTTTTTTTTTCCCAACAAGAACTCATCCATGTGGTCTTGAATTAAACTCTCCAGTATCTTCCCAATTTTAGAACTTAAACTAAGGGGTCTATAGTTGGTAAAGACTTTGATCCACCAACCTTTTTCATAGGTACTGAATGAGGCTTGATTTATATTTTATAATAAGGGTTTTTCATTCCAAAATTGGTATATGATTTTCTTAGTTGCCAATGGTTTCTCCTCTCCATCTGGACCCATGGTGGTGTATCTGACTTTATAGGCCAAAAATCTGATCATTTAAATTTGCAAGCCCGGATGAAAATCTCAGTCAGTGTTTCCGCTGTTTCATGGTTCAGCATAGTGATCTGCTTGGAGAAATATTGTTAGATTTCCCAATCAATGTGTATTTCACATGGTTCAACTTATGACTTTCTTTGAAAAATATTGTTGGCAACACTTGGGGGAATATTTTTAAAGAACAGAATGTGGCACTCACCAAACTTTCACTGCAAGGTGAAAGCTTCTTATAGCTGTTTTTAAATTATAGTGATTTATTTGCCTGCAGAGAGTGATTGGTGAATATCGCAGTTGCCTTTATAAAGATGCCGCTTAATGGTCTGTGCTACTCTACTCTTGCAAACTTTCCTAGTATTGTCTTCCAGCTTGTATGGTGCTGAAAGCTCATATCTGCTTTACTGTTGCAGATGGCCTTGCATACTCTGCCCTACTTAAAAATGAACTTTTAGGAGCTGGAATTGAGAAGGTTCAGGATCCCCAAACTGAAGATCGTCGTTTGCAGCCTTCTACACCAGAGAAGAAGAGCCTTTTCACAGTAAACCTTTTATTTATTATATTATACTTTACCACTTGCCCTCCTGAGGATTTACCCCCCCCCCCCCCCCCCCCCCCCTTCCTGACCAGGCCTCTTTTTGCTGTTCAGCGCTGCACTATTTCAACTGGTAATGGTACGGTCATGCAATGTTGTACTCAAACGAAATTTCATTTTTTTTTCACAAAAATATAGCTTTCTTTTGGTATTTGATCAACTGTGCGCTTTTTATTTTTCGCACTATAAACAAAGATTGAAAATTTTGCAAAACAAAACCCAATATTTTCTTATTTCTGTCATAAAAAATATAAAAAAAATTTCATCATAAATTTAGGCCAAAATGTATTCTGCTACATGTTTTTGGTAAAAAAAATCCCAGTAAGTGTATATTGATTGCTTTGTGTGAAAGTTATAGCATCTACAAACTATGGTATAGATACTGCAATTTACACAGCTTTTACTTTCTGACTGCTTATCACATTTCTTGAGGTGCTAAAATACCAGGACAGTACAGACGCCCCCAAATGACCCCTTTTCGGAAAATAGACACCCTAAGCTATCTGTTGAGAGGTGTATTGAGTCCATGGAAGATTTTTTTTTTTTTTTTTCCACAAGTTTTTGGAAAATGCCAAAAAATTTTTTTTTTCACACAAAGTTGTCACTTAAATTATATATTTCTCACACAAGCCATGGGTATATGTGGAATTACACCCCAAAATACATTCTGCTACTTCTACCGAGTATGGGGATACCACATGTGTGAGTTTTTGGGAGCCTAGCCACATACAGGAGCCTGAAATCCAGTGACTACTTTGAAAGCCTGAAGGTGCATAACTTCCTCATTTCACTTCCTCGCCACCTATCAGTTTCAGGGGCCCTGAAATGCCAGGATAGCACCAAACCCTCCCAAATGACCCCTTTTTTGGAAAGTAGACACCCCAAGGAATTTAAAAAGAGGCATGGTGAGTATTTTGCAGATCTCATTTTTTTTCTCACAAGGTTTTGAAATATAAAAAAAGAAAAGAAAAAAATGTTTTTCTTTCTTCATTTTCCAAAAACTTGTGGCAACAAAAGAGATCTGCAAAATACTCACCATGCTTCTTATCAAATTCCTTGGGGTGTTTACTTTCCAAAAAGGGGTCAGTGGGGGGGGGGGGGGGGGTTGTTGCTATCCTGGCAATTCAGGGCCTCCGAAACTGTGATAGTTTAGTCAGGAAGTGTGATGAGGAAATAAAGCCCTTTAAAAGACTGAAGGTGCTTATTAGATTTTGGAGTCCTATACTTGGCTAGACTGCCAAAAAGTCTCTCGCATTTGTTATCCCCATACCCGGGAGAAGTAGCAGAATGTATTTTGGGGAGTAATTCCACATATACCCATGGCATGTGTGAGCAATAAATCATTTAAATGACAATTTTGTGTAGACAATTTCTTTTTGTCATATTTAAAAACTTGTGGTAAAAAAATTAGTTCTTCTATTCACTCAACATGTCTCTCAGCAAATAGTTTGGGGTGTCTACTTTCCAAAAAGGGGTCGTTTTATGTCCAGCATTAGAAGTTTATGCCACACATCATTCACTCCTCTAACCATGTGAAGACCAAGCCTTTTCTGACACTTTTGTTCCCATGAAAAAAAATCTGTATTTTTTGCTTGGAAATTACTTTGAACCCCCAAACATATATTTTTTTTAAAGCAGACACCCTAGTAAATGGTGGGTGCTGCAATTTTTTTATGTCATAGTACTTGCGCAGCGATTTTTCAAATGCAAATTTAAAAAAACAAACAAACATTTTTTCTACACTTAATGCACAAAAACACAATATATTGGCCAATTTGGTCAAATATAAAAGATGTCGGTATGCTGAGTAAGTAGATGCCAAACATGACATGCTTTAAAACTGCGCATGCTCCGTGCAATGGTGAAAAACTGCATAAGTTTTTAATATGCATAGGCAATGCTTTAAAAGGCTTTACAAGCTACCATTTTAGATTTACAGAAGTCTACTGCTAGAATTAGTCCTTGATCTGATGTTCACGGCAATACCTCACATGTATGGTGCAACCTCTGTTTACATACTGGCACAGGGCCAACGCTCACGCACGCATGTGCGCGCGGGGGGTCAAGGGTGCTTTTTTCTGTTTTTTTTTTTTTTTTTTTTTAAGTTATTTTGATTTTTTTTAATTATTTTTACAATATTCCTTTCATATTTTTTTTATTTTATCACTTTTAACGCTATCACAGGGACTGCTAATATCTCCTATAACTTCAATGGACATTGTCATATATTCTTTTTCGATAAATCTGGGGTCGGTCAGACTCTAAATATCTCCCCTGCCCTTACATTGTCTAATTTCACCAAGATCGGTGTGATCAGATGCTTTTTCAATTTACAAATGGCGCTTTGGCGTTTATATCCTGCGAAACTGAAGTGATGAAATGCTTGTAGCTTCTGATTTCTTAGACTATAGAGATGATTGGCACCATTCCAGTCTCCAATCAGCTGTATGGTCAGCTAGCAGAAACACCGGCTGCATTCTCAGGTTCCCCCGATGGCACGGGACTGCCAGAGAAGGTAGCGGGGGCATCTTCTCCCACTGCTTTTAAAAGCAATCCTGTAGCTAGTTAGCCACTAGGATTGCTTTTACATGAAAGCCGATCGCCAGCTGAAAAAAAAAACTATACCAGGATGATGCAGGCCGGCACTGGTCCTTGTTTGGTGTATATGCTATGGTGTTTTTTTTTTTTTTTTTTTTTTTTTTTTTTAATGAAGCCTGTGGGCTGAATAAAAAAAGAGACGAGATCTCTGCCAGAGAAAGTGTGTGGTATGCCCGCCATTAGTATATACTGCCCTGCATCCACTCACTTCTGATGGTGGGTACACATGAAATGTGCCAAAAAATACTATAAAATATATATATCGAAGCATAGGGGCCATCCACCCACTGGCCATCCCAGGCCCCCATGCTTTGACATATATGCTCTTTTTTTTTAACTCCAGATTAAAAATCTCACCCAACAGCACTGCACACACCTACTTATGTATATTCTGACAGCAAGACCCTGTTGCTGTCAGAATAAACAAGTCAATGCTGCAGCTGAATGACATCCTCATGTCTCAAGCAAGCTTTTTTCCTCTTTCTAAGACGGTATTTACAAGCCATTGGGGGAAGCCGCGGCGATTAAGTCGCATGGTGCCACATGCGCCAATTCCAAGATTGTACAAATGTCTAAATAGTGGCACGCTTGAATAAAAATTGTCCACGTATAAGTGGTACACCATATGGAAAAATGATGACACCAAGTCCCTATCTTGCCTCTGCTCCCCATGTAGTCTGGGCATCCGGGGGGTTCCATGTGACTTTTGCTTCTTTTCCCTTGTAAATCCGAAATTTATATGTATAGCATGTTGCCCTCTCACAGGTCTTATACATCTTGACCCCAAATCTGGCATGCTTGCTAGGGAGATTTTGTTTGAATGCAAAGCGTCCAGAAAATTTAATAAGGGACTCATCAACACAGATTTTTTGCTAGGGAGTATATACATCTGAAAATTTTTGGTTAAGGTGACTTATGAGGGGCCGAATTTTGCAGAGCCGGTCAAATTCAGGATCACACTGAGGATGACCAAGTGTATTGATGTTGAAATGCATAAAACACATTATACTCTCATATCTATGCCTGGCCATGGCAGCAGAGAACTCCTCCTTCTCCCCCCTCCCCCCCCGGGTGCTGGGCTGATCTTTGTGATAGCCAATCAGAGGCTATCGCAGCGATAATGTGACCCGGAATCAGGAGTCCCGGGTCCCGATTGTTAGAACACAACTCTGGGTTCTCAGTGACACCCCGGTCTTTGTGCTGGGAACACGCTGTACGGCGCGCTCCCAGCACAAAGACAAGTACACAGACATGCGGCCCCACAGAAAAAATCCCAGTTCTGTAAGGCCGCATACTTGTGTGACGTCGGCGCAAAGGGGTTAAAGCAGGGTTGGGTTATAAAAAAAAAAAAAAAAAAATATCCCAAGCTTTGAACAACTCACGGAGCACTCTCGGATGATGGCTCAATCCATCACCCGACACTGGAGAATGTTTGGTACAACTGCAAACCTGCCAAGACATGGCCTCCACCTAAACTAACAGGCCGGGCAAAGAGAACATTAATCAGAGAAGCAGCAAGGACAACCGATGAGACCAAAATTGAACTTTGAACTAGCTAAAAGCAAAATGCTATGTGTAGCGGAAAACTAACACTGCACATCACCCTGAACACACCATCCTCACCGTGAAACGTGGTGGCAGCATCATGTTGTGGGGATGCTTTTCATCAGCAGGGACAGAGAAGCTGGTCAGTTGATAGGAAGATAGATGGAGCCAAATACAGGGCAATCTTAGAGGAAAACCTGTTAGTCTGCAAAAGACTTGAGACTGGGGCGGAGGTTGACCTTCCAGAAGGACAACGACCCTAAACATATAGCCAGAGCTACAGTAGAATGGTTTAGATCAGGGTTTCTCAACCAGGGTTCCTCCCAGATGTTGCCAAGGGTTCCTTGAACAATTTTTGCCTCTCAGGTAAGTTCCCACTGACACCATTGATCCTTTTTAGCTATCTATAGGGGGTCATTCTTCCTAATGACCACAAGTGTAAGGAGCGTTCTTACCTCTATCACACTAATGTATCATTAATTGTAGATAGTAATTTTTAGCAGAGGTTCCCTGAGACCGGAAAGTTATGTCCCCAAGGGTTCCTCTGCATTAAAAAGGTTGAGAGAGGCTGGTTTAGATCAAAGCATATTCAAGAGTTGGTTCTGGCCAGCTCAGTGGATTGCTTCTAAAAAGGCCTGGATTGTTTCTTAGATACACAGAATATAACTGGATACTAACTTTTATAGGTAAAGTTGATCCAGGGAATATTCGATTGCTTCTCGGGGGATCAGAAGGAATTTTTTTCCCAGCAGGAGCAAATTGGATCATGCTTTGCTGGGTTTTTTTTTTGCCTTCCTATGGATCAACTGTGGGTGTAGGATTATAACTTTTTTTTTTTTTTTTTTTTTTTTTTTTTTTAATGGCTGAACTGGATGGACTTTTGTCTTTTTTTTCAGCCAGACTATGTAACTGTATTCATGTGTTAGAATGGCCCAGTCATAGTCCACACCTAAATTCAATGAGTATCTGTAGGAAGACTTGAAAACTGTAGCAGACTCTCTCCATCCAATCTGACAGAGCTTCAGCTACTTTGCAAAGAAGAATGGGCAAAAATTTCACTCTCTAGATGTGCAAAGCTGGTAGAGACATCCCCAAAAAGACTTGCAGCTGTAATTGCACTGAAAGGTGGTGTTCTACAAAGTATTTACTCGGCGGGGGGGGGGGGGGGGGGGCTGAATACAAATACACGGCACACTTTTTAAATATTTATTTGTAAAAAATTTTGAAAGACATTTCATTTTCCTTCCACTTCACAATTATGTGCCACTTTTTGTGTTTGGTCTCTCACATAAAATCCCAATAAAATACATTTACATTTTTGGCTGTAACATGACAAAATGTAGAAAATTTCAAGGGGTATGAGTACTTTTCCAAGGCACTGGACATAGTAATATAAACTAAACTAAAGTTTACATCTACATTTAAGCCTAATTTGTTTATTATTTCAGTATTCCTTAAGTTCCAAGAGATCAAGTCCTGATGATGGAAATGATGTGTCTCCTTATTCTTTGTCGCCTGTGAGCAACAAAAGGTAAGTGGTAATTTTTAGAGATTTACTAGTTTTCTTTTGTGAACCTATCCATTTTACTGTATCTACAGTATATGAAAGTCTGTTAATAAAGTTCTTACACAAATTGTCTTTAAAAAACATCTAATCAGATTGTCCCCCACTTGGGGAGCCAGAAACAAAAGCAGATTTAGGACAAAGTTTACATTCCTTGCCATGCAATAAAGTACATTCAACCTGCAAACCTAACATGGAATTCTCAGTCTATGAGTAAGGATGGCCATACATGATTTTTTTTTTTTTTTTTTAATCATTTAACCAACTGGTTGAACAAAAGTAAATGAGCTTATCCCTCCATCCACACGTTCGAGGTGGATGGGGGAATTCCTTCCTGCTGTGGAATTGTATTCTGATGGTAGGAAGCCTTCCCCACCGTCAGAATACAATAATCAGTGTTCTCGACTAATCGTTTAGGAAAAATACGACATGCTGCTTGTACACAAGTTGATCAATAGATCAACTTGTGTACAACCAGCTATCCCACACACGGATTCAGCCAAGATAAGCCGGCCATACATGGATCGAAATATGGCTGGTTCAGCAGGGACCAGCCAAATTTGGATCCACATATGGCTGGCTTAAGTCAGCTGGATTCCCACCTAGGTGTTTTCGCTTGATTAATTTTCCTTTATCGTCAATGGAAATGCATCAACAAATGGCCTTGTGAATCATGGCACAAGTCGACACATCACAACGCACTTTTAAGTTGCATTAGGGCTTGCGTTGATATTCAATACAGGGTCTTGAGTGTTCTCTGATAATATTGTATTATGTAATACTACTTCAAATGCTACTGAACCCACAACCATAAAATCAGCATGTATATATGCAGTAAAGCGTGCTTGTCTTACTTGCTGTGGAATCTAAGGGGTTAATCCTCTGCATTGTGTAAAAAGGCTTTTTGTTCCTGTCTTTTCTGATTCTCCTCATCTTCCACAGTCCAAAATCCTTCTGATAGTAAAGAACCCTAGGAGGCACTATTCACATGCTCAGTTTTTTTTTTTTTTTTTTTTTTTTTTGGGGGGGGGGGGGGGGTGCATATGATCCGCACAGGGCCAATTGGCACTGTCCAGACAGTTAAGTGTCATGCAACCTCATAGGACAGTCAGAGGTGAATGAAAACTACACGCTTTAACCAGTGCTCAGACGGACACTGATAGACGTCACGAGGTTACTATATACTGCCAATGAGAAAAGTAGTTTATATTTACTAAAATAATTGCATTTCCATGTTCTGTGTACTGCTGAAGGCCAGATATAGTGAATGCAGGGTCCTGGGTTTAGTAACACTTAACTTTTACTTAAAGTGATTATTAAAACAGTTTTCAGTATTGCTTCAGTTTTTTGTTGCTTAAGAATTTCATTTTTGTCTTGCAGTCAAAAGCTTTTGCGTTCTCCACGAAAGCCTACCCGCAAGATTTCCAAAATTCCATTCAAGGTGCTTGATGCCCCCGAACTGCAGGATGATTTCTACCTCAATCTAGTTGACTGGTCATCTCTTAATGTCCTAAGTGTAGGACTGGGAACCTGTGTGTACCTTTGGAGCGCATGCACTAGCCAAGTAAGTAGTAACAAATGGATGTGCATTTGTTTATATCTAATACTGCTTAACCATTTCAATACCGGGCAATTTTACATTTTCCTGCCCAGGCCATTTTTCAGGTTTCAGTGCTCTCACACTTTGAATGACAATTGCGCGGTCATCCAACATTGTACCCAAACTAAAATTTTATCATTTTCTTCACACAACTAGAGCTTTCTTTTGGTGGTATTTAATCACTGCTGGGGTTTTTATTTTTTGCTAAATTAACAAAAAAAGACCAAAAAAAATTTTGAAAAAAAAAACCCATTTTTCTTTGTTTCTGTTATAAAAGTTTACAAATAAATAATTGTTCTTCATAAATTTAGGCCAAGATGTATTCTGCTACATGTCTTTGGTGAAAATAACCCAAATTAGGATGTATTATTTAGTTTGTAGGAAAGTTATAGAGTTCACAAACTATGGTATAGATCTGAATATTGATCAATCCTGAAGTACTGACAGCCAATCTAATTTCTTGAGGTCCAAGAATGTCAGAACAGTACAGATATCCCCCAAATGACCCCTTTTTGCAGAGTAGACAGTCCGACGTACTTCATAAGAGGAATGGCGAGTTTTTTGAAGTTTTTTTTATTTTTTTTTGTAATTTTTTGGAAAATCAAAAAATTAAAAAAAGTTTCACTATTTTTTTTTTTTTACATTCTGTCACCAGTGCAGTACAGCATCATCATATAACTGGCATGGCGGTGAACAGGGACACTGACTGGGGACAGTATGAAAAAAAAAAAATATATATATTTTTTTTTTATATTTTTAATTTTTTATTACATTTTTTTATTTTTTTTAAGATTTTCTTTTCATATTTTACTATGACCAAAGTAGTACAATGTTACCATAGTAACATTGTACTACTTTGGGGAAGTGATCAGTATTTTTTTTTTTTTTTACACAATTTGCTTATAGCAAGAATTACTTTGCTATAAGCAAGCATTTACCTGAATGAAATCGATTCATTCAGGTTTTTTTTTTCTTTTTTTTTTTGTGCTTAGCTGTGATTTGGCCACAGCTAATCACATGACATGTGCATGTGACCTGCTGTGACCATTCACAGCTAGGCACTAGTATACAATGGATGGCATGAATGAAGCCATCCATTGTATACAACTGTCATGTGACCTGCTGTGATTGGTTACAGCAGGTCACATGGTACCGGCAACAGGAGCCGGTACTCAGATCTGTCATCAGCCATGTTCGAGGTACACGGCCGGTGACAGATCGCGCCGCTCTGCAACCGCGCGAACTGCGCATGTGCGGGAGCATACCAAATGGCGTGCACCCGGAAAGCTAAAGCGCTTTTGATGCCGCCAAACGGCTATAGGCTGGGCGGCTAATGGTTAAAACATGTATTTCTTTCTCATCCATTGAGGGACACAGGAATTCATAACCAATCTGCGTATACATCTGCCTATAGGAGGGAGGTTTTTGACTTTGGTAAACAAAGTTTTTAAGCTATCTCTCATATAACCCCTCTTCTACCCAACATGTTTCAGTTGTTTCGCTAGCATCCTAGGTGGTCAGATGCTATTTTTTTTTTTTTTTTTTTAAAATGAATATAGTATATTCTTGGCTTTCTCACTTCGTTTTTTTTTTTTCCCTCAGTAAATTTAATCATAATTTTTTGCCACTCAGCTGCTTTAGCAGTATAATGTCAGCTGGCCTGATTTATTCTTTAGCATGCAGAATGACATAACAGTGTGTAAAGAGCTTCAGATGGTAATTGCACAACGGATCTCTGGCCTTACATTTGAGTATGATGTATAGACATTTATTCTATGGTGAACAAACAACAATCTGTATTAGAAAGTAGCCTCCTACTAGTCTTTTTGGTATGAAAACTATATTCGGCAAGAACACTTCTTCCATCAGCTAATTGAAAACATCTCTTTTCTACTCATAACTATTGAAACTATAACCTAACATATAGGCTGAATATAAGAAACCTGACCTTTTTAGAGAATCTCAAAAATAGTGAGGCCTTGTCTTTAAAAGATCCAAAATTCATTATACAAGCTTTGCCTTTCAAATATACTATCCATAAGGACTAAATGGAATTTACACTAAAATACAATGTCACATATATAATGGCATATGTTACGTATTCAAAATGAAATTATTATTATAATATTGCGGTCTCCCCCATTCCCGCAAGGACTTTCATGTGTGTTCTAGACTTTCAAACTGCTCCTGCTAGGATACTGGGCAATGAATCTAAGCTCTCTCCTGTTTTCTCCTCTGACCCAGATTTTAAGTCCCAAAAGTCTGTCTCTGAGGAGACTATTTTTGAGTCACTTCAGTCTCTTGCATTTGGCTCAGATTTAGAGGGGGCTGTTTCAAAGCTTATCGATAGACCACGTATAACTCTGGAGCTAGAGGTTCAGTCTGCTGTTCCAGGCCTGCAAAGAGTGTCATGTTACGCTCATGATCATTATGGAATGGATACATTTGTGGCCAAGCCTTTAACTGGCTTACCAGCAAGCAGGTTGAAGCTGTGTTTATCTTTTTAGGATTTTACTGACCAGACACTTAAATTGTGAAAATAGTGTTAGAATCTGCGCTGGTCAATATAACATCAAACATACAAGCTGCCAGCACTATATTTTGATATTGTGAATATAAAAACATATGTACAGAGGTGCAGCACTAAAATAACCAAAAATAAATAGATAAATGTGAATGTTGAACAAATAAACACTAAAAAGTGATTAAATCAGTCCCAGTACCAAACAGACACTAATATAGATAATATCCAACATAATCCTGTTTTTTCAATGATAAAGAATATCAAGTGTATCCAAATACAGCACGCGACACCCCACTCAGTACTCACAGGAGGCTTACCCGATAGTATTGACCATCATGTTCTAGAATGGTCATTTAAGGCACAGATGTAAGCAAACAGCAGCTACTCCAAAACTCCTTAGCCTCCAACCATGTATTAAACAGCATTCCTGCACTGATAACGGAAAACAACCTAATCCAGTCAGGCGGGAAAATTGTTCAGCACTATAAGCGACTTTTCAAGATGCTAGATATATCTTCACCCCATGTGGTTTATATTCAGGCATGGATTCCTCACGTATTTCTGGGTTACAGACAGTTCCTAAATTTTCTTGGGCCTGCCAGTGGCTTTATTATAATTTTTCCTTTTTGTCAGTGTCCCAGCCTCCTGTAGGCAGCAGCATAACTCCAACTGTTTTTGAATTATCATGCCCCTCAATGCACTCAATAGAAGACTTTATGTAAGTACAAAAATCTAACATTGTCATTTATTGCAGGTTACAAGACTGTGTGATTTATCTGTAGAAGGGGACTCTGTGACATCAGTGGGTTGGTCTGAAAGGGTGAGTATAATTACCCAAAACTTTACAGGGTTTGTGAGAGTTTGAATTAACCAAGGAATTCATTGAATTTACTCTTCTGAAGCACAGTAGAAAAATGTTATGCTAATAAAATGCTTTCTTCCCAGGGGAATCTGGTGGCTGTGGGTACGCACAAAGGTTTTGTGCAGATTTGGGATGCATCAGCAGGAAAGAAACTGTCCACTTTAGAAGGACACACAGCTAGAGTTGGTAAGGTGGCCTATGTTAAGGGCATTTCTACGCCTAGTTAACACATTGCGTCATGGATGTGTACAACAAAATGCACTTCTAGCAGTTCACTTAGTCACATATTTGAACCCTTTTCATCATTCTATTGTAGGGGCCTTAGCTTGGAATGCAGATCAGCTTTCCTCTGGGAGTAGAGACCGTATGATCCTGCAAAGAGATATTCGCACACCACCTGTGCAATCTGAAAGAAGGTTACAGGGTCACAGGCAAGAAGTATGTGGCCTCAAGTGGTCTACTGATCATCAGTTGCTAGCATCCGGAGGAAATGACAACAAGGTATAATCTGTGCCATGGCTTTGATAATCAATCAATAGACCAAATTTCCTGTTTTGTTAAAGATCCTTGTGTTTCTCTCAGCTCCTGGTATGGAATCACTCCAGCTTGACACCTGTCCAACAGTACACAGAGCACCTTGCTGCAGTGAAGGCAATTGCTTGGTCTCCTCACCAGCATGGCCTTCTTGCATCAGGAGGAGGTACCGCTGACCGTTGTATCAGATTCTGGAATACACTTACTGGTCAGCCTCTCCAGTGCATTGACACAGGCTCTCAAGTCTGCAACCTGGCCTGGTCAAAGCATGCTAATGAACTTGTAAGTATGAAGTTATCTATTTTAAAGGCAGCTTGTACTTTAGAGAAGGCAGTGTCATTAGCAGTTAAAGCAGAACTATTACCTTCCTTTTTATTACAGCAATGGAAGCTTCCATTTTGGCCTCTCTTTAATTTTCAATTGATATGGTGCTGCATATGATGACTTGAAATGTTGAGAACACAAGCAGCTGTGGCAGTTCTCATTTACTGCATGCCTTCAGTGCAGCTTGTTTGAGAAACCGTTAAATCTATAGCTTTAGTTACGTTTTACATTCCACTCCCTGCTGCCCTGTTTTAACTTGCTCTAATTGTACCCAAGTTATGCAGCCTAATGTCCACATGACAAGACTTTGTGCTTGGGTTGCCAGTTGCCCTGTATTGTGACCAAGTGTTGCATGTTCCTCTGTACCCGCAATTACTGGGCTGTGGCAGTGAGTTAGGACAGCAGGGGAGCATGTTGAACAAAAATAAAAGCTGCTGACTCTGCTTCTTGTAAAACCTTAGAGTGAAACTTTAGTTTATTAAAACATATGGCTAGCAGAAAGGCTTTTATTTCAGAAGAGACTATTTTGCAATTAATGCCTCTTGCCTGCCTGCTAGTAAGTTTCTTTTAGATTGAATCCTGCCAGTCTCAGCATATAAATACTTTGTGCTTTACTCATACCGCTTTTCTCTGTTTTCTGTAGAGGGACAGAACTTTATGTTAATTAAACTAGGGTTATACTGCTGCCTACAGGAGAAATGGACACGAAGCACATGAAAACTGAAGGCTTGTCCTTTTCAAGACTATAATCCCTGCACAGTTTTACTTTGTGTCCTTATGAGAGTGGACGTGTTAACTTCAGCATTAGCTCTGCTGTTATATGTCCATTCTCAATGTTACTACGTTGGATGCTATTTTTCTGGACCATGTGTCTTTTTAGGGTTATAGGACTTGGGGAGAAGTATGGGTTTTCTTTTTTTAGTTTTTTATGTATAAGCTGTGAGCTGCTAATACATAAAAATATTTCCAGCCCTCTCAGAAGTGCACCCTTTCTGTTGAATTCAAGGTAAATACATGTGAGAGGGAATTCAGTCTTCTCATGCCTACAATCTGGATCCACCTCCTTTCCTTCTCCTGTATTTGATGTCGGCTCTGGGCTGTCTGCTCTCTCCCTCCTTCCCCCTCCTCCTCTCACACTACACACAGCTAACAGCAATTTTTATCTAGGAACTTTACAGAACTGCAGAAAGCAGGCAGCTACCCAGTGTGCAGATAGAGGGTGTCTGTAAGAGAATTGATCTGAGCTGTGCGTTGTGTGAGAGGAGGAGGGAGGGACAAAGCAGACAGCCCAGAGCCAAGAGCAATCAAACACAGGAGAAGGAAAGGAGGTGGATCCAGACAAGATTGCCGGCATAAGAATCCAGAGAGGACTGTAGCCCCTCCCACAGTTTTTTTTTTTTTTTTTTTTCCTTCAGATCATCTTTATTAAACTTTTCTTTTTCTTTTCCATTTTCACAAAACATACACACAGTTCACATTAACCAAACTTTTGTCTCCAGTTTTCTTAATTTTTAAATATTTCATAACCTACAATATATGCATGTATGTTTATCAACAGACATAGGCTCCTTTCGCCCTCTTGAAATCCAGTCCCTTCAAACATCTTAAATTATACCACTTCTCATCATTCAGGGGGCCGATATCCATTTGCCAATATGATCTGCACCTCAGAGAATTTGAGTTTGACCTTTTTTGTAGCAATGCATTATAGAGTCTTGTTAGTCCCCTTTTAGATGTCACAGCCAGGCTTTAAGAACTGTGAATGACGCATAAACCCAGGGCATCTGTCTAGATTGAGTTTGGATGGCAAGCCTAAGCTGCAAATATTGGAAAAACCTTTTAGTATGTAGACCAAACTCCTCCCGCAAGTCTGAAAATCTTTCAAATATTGACTCTGATATAATTGCGGGATATACACAAGGCTCTCTGTTGTGATAAACACTTTAATTTGAAAGGTCTGTGCGTTATCAGCATTGTTCTATAAGGAGCACTTTTTGATTTTACTCAGACAAGATTGTTTTGAGACAGAGGACTTCATTTTTTTGCTCAAAGTAGTCTCTGCTTTTCACCTTTAATAATTATATTGGTTTACCTGTTTTGTTCAATAATGGTTCACCCCAAGATCTCTCCAATTCTGAATGTGGTTCCTGACATGTTGGTCTCTCTGTCACTGCTTCTTGTATGCAGACAGCTTTCCTGTTCGCAAAGGTTCTAAAAGAGGATCTCTGGCTTCCAAATCCACCATTTCTAAAATAGATTCAACAGGTTGTTGTGCAGGGCAATGAGTTTGCTAGATAAAGTGCCTAATTTTCCTGTAAAGTCCCGAATCACTATAGCAGTGAGTACTGTCATGATAAAGCCCACCCACGACGACTAGCTAACTGGGACGTGGTCCTTGACTGAGGGAATGAGGGAGGCTTACAAGACTGGTCGTGATACCCTTTCACAGCCCACACTACCTCTAGCCACCACTAGAAGGGGACTCCACTCCAATCTAGCTGGCTGACCACACATAGGCAGGTACAAATCTTATATACAATCTGGTGCACTCTAAGGATTGGGAAGCAGGTTAGAAATTAGCACCCCCTTCTAGGATTCCTCCAGCTATCCTACAAGCTAGAACCCCGGTGTTAATCACTCTTCCATTGTCCACACACCCCCACACCAGACACACAACAAATGGTAGCTTGCCACCACCTAACAGTTTGTCCGCAGATTGGTCTGCTAGACCACCACACACACACAAACACAGATCTCCATCTGGCAGATCTGCTAGTTTACAGTCTGCATGCAATCTGCCAACAAGCAGTGCAATTGCATACAGACTGGCAATGAACTTAGACCGAGCACATAGACACTACAATACAATACAATTTCTCCAGTTTAGTACACAGAAGTCACTTATTAATTTTATGATTTAATATCCCAAAAGTGGCCAGTGCATAAAATATTTACTTAGAAAAAAGGAATTGCGACAAAGACATCCACAGTTGGCTATTCACTGTAAAATAAAAGGGAATAAAAACCAAAACTTTTACCAAGATTTATCCTGTGAATGGAGCAAGTCAAGAGTCTGCGATTCACTAGTCAGATGGAATCGGCTCTGTATGTATCACGCCATCCATATCTCAGGGTCCTCAATTTATTGAAATATGGATGTGGGCTGGACTTTAGCCCTTGGCCAATCAACCCTCGGGGATGTTCCTGTCCCAGCCACAGGACATTCTGTATTCTGAAGTGCCCAGAGCTGACTGGGCCAGGAACGGTTCAGATCACTGGGTCAGGGATAAGATTCCCGAAACCAGCGTGTCAGTCCGATCGCAACAGTACCAATCACTGTTCAGCTGTCGCAGTCAGGCACCATATAACCATTTTGTGTGTTTCTCTGGGATTCTACATAGGCTACAAATACCATTTTTATTGTAGCCTAAAATGTTTCCAATCAGAAGGAATTGTTTTAATCTCTGCAATTAATATTTTAGCTTTTATGAGAGTTGAAATAGATTCCTCTGATCTGTTGGTATAAATCCAATAAAGCTGACAGACATTTCTGAGCCTTCTCCCTGTCTGCTGCTGATTCATTTAGCCGAAATGGCTAGGATTCTTCTTTTAGGTTCAAGAAGGTGGCAATCTCTGGCTACACACAGTGGATTAAAGTTTTATTGACCTCTAAGTGTCAATTCTAGCCTAGAAGCTTGCTCTGTCCTTTCAAATGCTAATTAAAACATATTTCTCTGATTAGGAATACTGTAATAACACAGAATTTAACTACAGTGAGGAACAAAGTACTTGAACACCCTGCGATTTTGCAAGTTCTCCCACTTAGAAATCATGGAGGGGTCTGAAATTCACATTGTAGGTGCATTCCCACTCTGAGAGACATAATTAAAAAAAAAATTCAGGAAATCCTATTGTATGATTTTTAAAGAATTTATTTGTCTTGCACTGCTGAACATAAGTATTTGAACACCTAAGAAACGGCAAGAATTCTGGCTCTCAGAGACCTGTTACTGTGCCTTTTAAAAAGTCCACTTCTACTCCACTCATTAATCTGAGTAGCACCTGTCTGAGCTCTTTAAAGACACCTGTCCACCCCACAGTCAGATGCCAACTACTACCATGGGCAAGACCAGAAAGCTGTCAAAAGACACCAGAGACAAAATTGTGGACCTCCACTAGGCTGGAAAGGACTACGGGGCAATTGCCAAGCAGCTTGGTGAAAATAGATCAACTGTTGGAGCAATTGTTAGAAAATGGAAGAGGCTAAAGACGACTGTCAGTCTCCCTTGGACTGGGGCTCCATGCAAGATCTCACCTCGTGGGGTATCACTGATAAGAAAGGTGAGGAATCAGCCCAGAACTACAAGGGAGGAGCTGGTCAATGACATGAAGAGAGCTGGGACCACAGTTTCAAGGGTCACTGTCGGTAGAACACTACGCCGTCATGGTTTCAATCCCATGCATTGTACGGAAGGTTCCCCTGCTCAAGTCATCACATGTCCAGGCCCATCTGAAGTTTGCCAATGACCATCTGGATGATTCAGAGGAGGCATGGGAGAAAGTCATGTGGTCAGATGAGACCAAAGTAGAACTTTTTGGTCTAAACTTCACTCGTTTTGGAGGACAAATGATGAGTTGCATCCCAAGAACACCATCCCCGCTGTGAAGCATGGGGGTGGTAACATCATGCTTGGGGGGTGCTTTTCTGCAAAGGGGACAGGACAACTGCACTGTATTAAGGAGAGGATGAATGGGGCCATTTATTGTGAGATTTTGAGCAACAACCTCCTTCCCTCAGAGCATTGAAGATGGGTCGTGGCTGGGTTTTCCAACATGACAATGACCCGAAGCACACAGCCAGGATAACCAAGGAGTGGCTTTGTAAGAAGCATATCAAGGTTCTGGGGTGGCCTAACCAGTCTCCAGACCTCTGAAACTCCATGTTCCTCAGCGACAGCCCCGAAACCTGACAGATCTAAAGGAGATCTGTGTGGAGGAGTGGGCCAAAATCCCTGTTGCAGTGTGTGCAAACTTGGTCAAGAACTACAGGAAACGTTTGACCTCTGTAATTGCAAACAAAGGTTCTGTACCAAATATTAACACTGATTTTTGTCAGGTGTTCAAATACTTATGTTCAGCAGTGCAAGACAAATAAATTCTTTAAAAAAATCATACAATGTGATTTCCTGAATTTTTTTTTTTTTTTTTCTGTCTCTCAGAGTGGGAATGCACCTAAAATGTGAATTTCAGACCCCTCCATGATTTCTAAGTGGGAGAACTTGCAAAATCGCAGGGTGTTCAAATACTTCTGTTCCTCACTGTATATCTATTATTGAACTACTTCTACAGATCACGTCATATCTCAACTACTGATAAAATTATTCTACTCTTACATTTGTTACAAGTACTACTTGGACTCTTTGGTCAGCAGGCCTCTGTACCCAACTGCTGTCTAGTCTGCTGTACTTACTTTCTCTAAGCTACAGTGGATATAAAAAGTCTACATACCCCTGTTAAATGTAAAAAAAATGAGACAAAGATAAATAATTTCAGAATTTTTCCACATCACAGAAACCTGATATTTTAACAGGAGTGTGTAGACTTTTTATATCCACTGTATATATGGGTAAAAAGTTATGCTCGTGGCTGCCGTCCCTGGTTTCCTTTTTGCTACAGTTTGCTCTTGTCGGGCTGCTTCTACCTTTGTTGCTGGCGTGCCCACCCTTAAGGCTCCATGCACACTGGGCATTTTAATAATGCTGGTAATGTTAGCTGTGTAAAGGCACGTTAAAAATGCAAGTTTTCTAGCATTTTTGCAGTAGAGTTTTGTTGCGTTTTTTCACGTTTGCAGTTTTTTTACAAAAAAAAAAATTTTTTTTTTTTTTGCTCAAACGTTTTTCAGCGTTAGAGCATTTTTACAGCTAAAAAAATGTCTCTAGAAACCCACTAGTTCTGTTTTTTTTTTTTTTTTCCAGCCAAAAAACACCCATGCCAAAAAACGCTATTTACAGTCTGTGTGCATGGACACACAGGATAATATGCTGGGGAGTTTACTGGCTGTAGAAAAAAAAAACACCAAAAGCAGCAGCTGTAAAAACGTCCAGTGTGCATGAGGACTAAAGGGGCCGGCCCGTTAGTATTTGTGTTTTTGGTGTCCATTTCTTTTGCAGGTGTCTGTGTAACCCTGGGTGGGGAAGGGGTTAAAGGATATCGTCACCTTTCCTATCATTTTATTTATGTTGTAAAGGATAATTCAATGAACTACCTAGAGTGCTCACTAGCGCCATGGTAGTTCATTGAGAACTACAAGCTATCAGCCGCAAAGGCTGTCAGTACTTGTAGTTCATTTATTCACAGAACTGTGTGAATGATGCAGTTGCGTATGCAGAGCCCCGCATGCCTGTGTTTTTTAAATTGTGACAGTAGGTGCGGGGAGAAGATCTCCAGCCCGCTGTCACAATTAGAAGTGGGATCAGGGAGAGGCTGCAGGAGTAGAAACATGTTGCATGTTCCACTCTAAAAATGGGTGGAAAATGTAACATGTTCCCAAAGGTGAACTTGGCCTTTATTTATCAAGCTGTGTCCCTCAGTGGACTCTGAGAAAAGAATTTTATGTGGAGTGCAAACTTCCTATTTTGCAGTGTTTTTATTGAATTTTTGCACTGATATAAACTTTAGTTAAGTTGGTTCCATGTGTTTCTGCCTTTGGGAAGTTGCCCAACGTACATTAAATAGCAGATGTTAAAGACGTTTTAAAAAAGTGTATTCTGAAGGACTTCTTGTAGGTTTTTAGTAATTAAATCAGGTTGCAGTATGGTCTTAGAAAGTACTTGAAACTAAGGCATTAGTAGCACAGTGCCAACCAATGTAACACAATAGCTTGAGAACAAGAGAGCAAGTTTTAGCTCTACTTTTTTCTTAATTGTTAATATTGTAGACTCGTATCTTTTTTTCTTAACAGGTGAGCACTCATGGCTACTCTCAGAACCAGATACTTGTATGGAAATACCCATCTCTAACACAAGTGGCAAAACTTACTGGACATTCCTACAGAGTTCTTTATCTTGTAAGTGCATTTTCTTCATGCTCATATCTTAATGTTCTCCATGTTTTAACATTGTGAGCATTTTCCTGCTTGATTATCCAGTTGGTGACTGCCTACCACAAATATACTGCTGCAGAGCGGCCCCACTTCTCCGGATCACATGCATGTATGTGATCCAGCCCTTCCGCGTAGGGGGGAGTGTGCATGCTGCCCTGGCTGCGCTGACATTTGCTCCAGTACATGCCAGTTAGTGGGTCCCGGGCAATGATTTATGGCCAGGACCTGCTGAGCGAATGACAGAAGAAAGCCCTGTGTCGGTAAACAACACACAACTCTCTACAGACAGTGGTGATGTGCCAGTTTTTTTTTTTTTTCATTTCTTTCTCCCTGCGAAGGGAGTAAACACCAGCACAATCCTTAGTGAAAAAAAAAAAACAGAGTAAACATTGTTAGGCACACAGTTAACCCTTTGATTGCCCCTAAATATTAACCCCTTTCCCAGCAAGTGTCATTAGTACAATGACAGTGTATATTAGAACTGATCACTGTATTAGTTTCACTGGAGGTGTCATTTAGTCAGTCACACTTTTACAGTCCCAATATACAAGTTGCTGATTGCCACCATTACTGGCAAAAAAAAAAATTTTTTAATCTTTTTTTTTTACGAAGACGTAGCAGAATATATTTTGGCCTAAATTTTATGACGAAATTTGATTTCTTACAAATGTTTTTATTGGATATGTTGTATAGCAAAAAGTAAAAAATATTGTTTTGTTTTGTGTTCTTTGTCCTTTTTTTCGTTTATATAATGAATTTAAAACCCAGTGGTGATCCAATATCACCAAGAGAAAGCTTTATTTGTGTGAAATAAATTATATAAATTTAATTTGGGTACAATGTTGCATGATGCGCAGTTGACAGTAGAGCAGTGCCAAATAGCAAAAAATGGGCCTGGTCACAAAGGGGGTAACGTCTTCCGGAGCTGAAGTGGTTATGCAAAAAACTTACTAATCTATTGTACAGATATAGATATACTAATTTTTTATATTTTTTTTCAAATTTTTAGTTAGATATTTTCAATTATAATTTCCTATTTTTTATGCAATGCTTTCCTTTTTGATGTAAAGGTAACCTACAGTTTAACTGCATTTTAGGAGTGTTGTCTATTCTCCCATGAAGTTCTGATGCAGACTATCTTGTGCATGTGGTTTTCATAAACTTTTTAGTAGATATCCCCAAATTTGTTTTCAAAGCCCACCTCTAATAAAAACTGTATTAAACGTGAGAAAAAATGTTTGTACAGCCCAGGTCAAAAGTTTTGAGAATTCCACAATTAATAATTTTTCAACGTCTGTTGCCTCAGTTTTTATAATGGCGATTTGCATATATTCCAGAATGTTATGAAAAGTGATCAATTGAATTTCAATTCATTTTCTTTCCATGAAAAAGAGCTTAATCACAAAAAAAACTATTTCCACTGCATTTCAGCCCTGCCACAAAAGGACCAGCTGACCTCATGTCAGTGAATCTCTCATTTTCACAGGTGTCAGTGTTGACCAGGACAAGGCTGAAGGTCATTCTCATGCTGATTGAGCTAGAATAAGAGACTGGAAGCTTTAAAAGGATGGTGGTGCTTGGAAAAAGATTGTTCATCCTCTGTTAACCATGGTCACCTGCAAGGAAACCCTTGCAGTCGTCATTGCTTTGCACAAAAAGGGATTCACAGGCAAGAATATTGCTGCTATTAGGATTGCACTTAAATCAACCATTTTATCAGATCATCCAGAACTTCAAGGATAGAGGCTCAGTTGTTGTGAAGAAGGCTTCAAGGCACCCAAGAAAGTCCAGCAAGTGCCAGGACCGTCCTCTAAAGTTTATTCAGCTGTGGGATCGGGACACCACCAGTGCAGAGCTTGCTCAGCAATGTCAGCAGGTGGGTGTGAGTGCAGCTGCATGCACAGTGACGCAAAGACTTTTGGAGGATGGCCTGGAGTCAAGAAGGGCAGCAAAGAAGCCACTTCTCTCCAGGAAAAACATTAGAGACAGACTGATATTCTGCAAAAGGTACAGGGATTGGACTGCTGAGGACTGGGGCAGAGTCATTTTCTCTGGTGAATCCCCTTTCCAATTGTTTGGGGCATCCAGAAAAAAAAGGTCTAAAGAAGAAAAGGTGAGCGCTACCATCAATCCTGTGTCATGCCAACAGTAAAGCATCCTGAGACCCTTCGTGTGGGGTTGCTTCTCAGCAGAGTGGGCTCACTCACAATTTTGCCTAAGAACACAGCCATGAATACAGAAAGGTACAAAAACATCCTCCGAGAGCAACTTTTCTCAACCATCCAAGTCACAGTTTGGTGACGAAAAATGCCTGTTTAAGTATGATGTAGCACCTTGCCATAAGGCAAAAGTGATAACTAAGTGGCTTGGGGAACAAAACATCCAAATTTTGGGTCCATGGCCAGGAAACTCCCCAGATCTTAATCACATTGAGAACTTGTGGTCAATCCTCAAGAGGCGGGTGAACAACAAAAACCCCATAAATTCTGTCAAACTCCAAGCATTGATTATGTAAGAATGGGCTGCCATCAGTTAGGATGTGGCCCAGAGTTTGATTGACAGCATGCCAGGGCAAATTGCAGAGGTGTTGAAAAAGAAGGGTCAACATTGCAAATATTGACTCTGCATAAATTTCATGTCAATAAAAGCTTTTCGCACTTACAAAATGTTTGTAATTATACTACAGTATACCATGGTAACATCTGACAAAAAGATCTAAAAACACTGAAGCGCCAGTTTTTGTGAAAACTAATTTGTGTCATTCTCAAAACTTTTGGCTATGGCTGTACAGGAAAAAAAATCTCACTGATGATGTAACACTTCCCTACTGTGTTCAAGCTTTTAAAACACAAATTTTATGAATTTGAAAAGCTAATGCCAGACGTCTGACAAGATCAGCAGGTATTTTTCCTGTACTTGCAGAATATTTACTTACCCTGAGAAAAAGAAAACTAAACAGTCATCACATCTAAGGACTGATAAGCAAGATATTTCATTTTTGATATTGGGATACTTTTACCGCTTTCCGGCCTCCCTATAGTAGATGTACTGATACAAGGTGGCACAGGTGCGCAAAATCACGTGTATATATATACAGGATTTTGCAACACCGGGCAGGGGGCGTGCCGCCACTTGCGGCCGCAGCTATCAATCGCTGGGTCCTGTCAGCTTGTGCACATTGCTTTGCATGGCTGTGCATAGCACAGCCATGCAAAACAGTGTGATTACAGTGAAGCACTAACACACAGTCCCATAGTAAAACACACACCCAGCACACAGTTAACACTTTGATCGCCCCTCATGGTAACCCCTTCCTGACCAGTGCCATTAGTACAGTGTCAGTGCTTCTTTTTCTTTTTAGCACTGATCACTGTATTGGTGTCACTAGGGATGTCAGTTTCCCTCAGTGTCAGAATGTCTGCCGCACTCTGCAATAAGTCGCTGCTCACTTCTATTACTAGTAAAAAGTTTAAAAATAATTCCAATATCTATATAAAATGGCTTGGTCAGGAATGGGGGTAAATACTCAGGAGGGCAAGTAGTTAATGTGTAAGTTTTGGTTATTTACCTTTGGTCATATAGAGAGGCACTAGATTCCCTATGTATTCACAAAACATTTTACTTTAATTCTGTGTATTTGGCACACAGATCACTTAAATGCGAATGAATGATGTACTTTATTTTATTTGCAGAACTATTCATTTTCAATTTTTTCCACAACACAGGCCATGTCCCCAGATGGTGAAGCCATTGTTACAGGTGCAGGAGATGAAACATTAAGGTTTTGGAATGTTTTTAGCAAAACAAGATCGACAAAGGTAAGGTTAAGATCAAATAAGGTAAGGTCAGTTGTCAGAAAGTAAACGGCAGAAACATGCTAAATCAAGTTGCACGGTTGGATAGCCATAAAGCTTAGGCAGCCCATAGATTTTCTTTTTTTCTTTTCTTCTAATCGACCAGCTGGTTGAATGAAGAAAAAAAAATTGATTCCCCCATCCACTCATTTGAGGTGGATGGGAGAATGGCCCCACTGTGTCTTTGTATTTTGAAATTGGGGAGACTTACCTCTGTCAGAATACACTGATCCTTGCTGCTGGCAGTGCTGATTGAGTAGGGAAAATCCAACAGGGTGGTTGTATAGCAGTCGGTAGATCAAAATTTTTTTCTATGTATGGCCAGCTTAAGTTTACATGTGTGGTCAGCAGGTGTTTGAACCACAGTTTTATTCTCAGGGTCATCCTTATCAATGTATGTGTTGGTTCCTTTTAGAAACACTATGGTAATAGGGGTCCAGGATCTGAAACTTGCACTGCTCCACAGCGTGAAGCTGCAATCTCCCATACTGCCAAAATGCCTATAATATCCACATCAGATTTTTTTTATTTCTTTATGCTTAAGAATATAGTGCTCTGGTGCCTACCAAAATTTAATTTAATTCTGACCCTACTTGGCCTCCACTTCAAAGTTTTTCTCAGGCTCCTATTGTCATCTCTGATTCAAAGTCTTCACAGCCTTCTCCTGATGAGTGTGTATTTTATTAAGTTCCCAAGTGGCTAAGCTTTACAAGAAATCCTTGATAATCTTGGGTTCTACTGTGCAGTTGGAGGATCAGCCTGCTGTTCTGAGGATACAGTCTTTTAGTGCTGTTGTTCTAAATTCCTTCACAATACCCTTGGTATGTAAATACTTCCTGTATGAGGACTGGAAACAACCTGTGGAATCATGGCCTCCTATTGACAATGTGAAGTAGCTTTTCCCTTTGAAACACTACTGTTAAGTAGTCTCTGTTAAGGTAGATGACATCTACAGTTGGCAAACAACATATCGCCCAACAGGCTAATGATAGTCTTACCTTTTTAGGGTTGCCCTTCTTTTTTTTTTTTTTTTTTTTTTTTTGAATATTCGTTGAATTCCAAGCTTAGGTTTCTTGAGTTATCTAGTATAACTGTCTGTCTCTTACTGTCAGGTAGATAGGTTAGATTTGTGTATCCATGTCATTTGCATAAATATACGTAATAGTGTTGGAGAGTAATCTGTGACCAGTATGACCAAGATGCACGAACATTAAATAACATTGCAATTTTTTTTTGTTCTGTTTTAGGAATCTGTCTCCGTTCTCAATTTGTTCACAAGGATACGATAAACTATTCTTACATCAGTGTTCTCAGCCACTGGTTTCCAAATCCAGTGCTGTGTTCCAAGCAAGAAAAAGAGACTGATTACTGTGCAGAGCTCAAATTTAACACAAGAGTAATAAAGTTGAGGATAAATACACCGTATTATATCTATACGTTATTCGAAGGGTAGTGAGTGAAAAACACTTTCCTATATACTGGAGGAGAATATAAAAACAACCCTACTGATTTCTGTAGAGATTTATTCAATATGCATATAGAAATCCTCACTTGTGTCTTCTTTTGGATTTACATCTTGGAAAAAAAAAGTTGCCATATTTTTTAGCTGACCGTTAAAGCAGAGAAACCATCATGCTGAAATGTTTTGGGACCATGCTCTGTTGTGTATAGATGGAAAATACCCATACTGATTTGTCTTGTTTGCATGCTATGGAATTCACACACTATAAGTACTTCACTAGTACAGCATATTCTCACCCTAGATTTTTATTTTGTGAATATTTCTGTAGTGCTCATACTGAAGAATGGTGGGTGGGTGGGGATAGTATAGGGGTTTGTGTGATTGTTTAAATGAATGTTTGGTTTTTCTCATTGTTACAAAATGTTTAATTCTATGCATTTCTATTTCTTTTTATGGTTGATGCTCTGTATTTTAATGTTAATTTAACGTACTGTTTGGGATCATTCAGAAAAGTTGCCTGCCGTTCTCCCCCCTTTTTTTTTTTTTTTTTTGTTGCAATGTTTTGCACAACAGAGGCATTGTTGGAAAGGAGAAAGTGGAGTTGCTGAAACAAAGCACTTAATTTCATTGCTATGCCCTCCTCACAGACTTTCTATTATGTCCTTAAATTGCATATGGAGGGTGCAGGTTAATTTGCGTGTCCAGCCTTTAATACTTAGTTCCCAGACAGGGGTTCTAATACTACTTTATTATTTCCATCTAGCACTTTCTTTGACCATGTATGCCCCCCCCCCCCCCCCCCCCCCCGCCCCCCTCATGGACTTGCTGCTCCAGTGACCAGCATTTTACCAGACAGAAGTGAAAATCTGCAATGGACGCTGACAAAAAAAAAAAAAAAAAAGCTGATGGAGGTTCTAGCCTTCCTCTACTCTGTAAATAAAACTTTATGTCTGTCCGTGTTACTGTTGAAGATCAACCCTTACATCCTATCTCGTAAAACTGTTGTCACCAGGACAGAAAGTAAGGGGAAAGGTCTCTAATGGAGCCCAGGAAAGCAGTAGAAATCTGATAGGGGTTTTAACTCATCCCCACTTTATTTATGGCAGAATGTTTTGGCTGGACATACATTTTAAGTGAATGTGTTGAGAATGTTGAGTCTGTATTGAGATTGGAATCCACTGTTCTCACCAAAAGGTGAAAAATGTTACGTTTTTTTTTTTTTGGTTGTTTTAAGAAAAAAAAAAATTCCCACTTGTTTAAATGTGACTGCTGTGTTCATTTGCGTGCTTTTTTAAATTATCACTATGTGGTGACCTAAATTAACAACCTTTAACTGAATGTTCCGTGTTGGTCATGTATAAATTTATACAAGGTGATGATACTGCCCCCTAACTACATCTACTCAAAGGTGAATAAATTCAGTTCAGTGAATTTTTAATTTCCATACAGCTGAGGTCATGCAAAGCCCTTGTCAACTGCTCTACTCTTCTTTGCACTCTTCTTCATGCCACAACATCCTTTTTGTGACCTGGTCCCCAATACCATATTTAAGATGGTCTTACAAATGCTTTGAATAGAAGCAATGTCACTGTTTTTTTGTGTCTATGCTGCTTAAAGTGAAACACACTGATTTAACGGTTTCCCAAAACAGATTCAAGGCATGCCTCTTGTGACAACTCTCACAGTTGCCAATGATGGTAGTGCTCAACTAAATTTTCAAGACCTGAAATGACTTGTGTCATAGCTGATCACGTGTGCAGCACCAGCAACTGCAGAACAGATGCTAATATGGCACCTTTCTTTAGCTGTAAAGGGTAGGAGGCTTTAAAACAAACTTTAAAAGCTGTAATAGCATTGTTAAGGTAGAACTGAAGCCAAGACCTCTTTTTCATTTTGGGTGGAGTAGGGAGAATTACAAACCCTGAAAGGAAATCCAGCCAAAGTGAGGAAAATGTCTTGTTGTCACCAGAATACCCATTGGAAGATTTCCTTTCTATTCCTCTTCTGGTGACCACTCAGTTTGTGATGTTTACCTTTGGTGATAACTGACCAGCATAAATATAGAGAGGGTGAATCTCCGTACCATGGATACAGATGGCAGGAAAAACCTGATGGTTATATCTAAAACAAATATATATTTTTTTTGTCTTCAGTTGAAGTTTACGCCTTTGATTTTCTAGGGAGTCCTATCCTATAAATGTTAGAATAAATGTTATCTTCCTCTCTAGATTGTATTACAAGTGCATGTTTATGACCCACAAGTTCATAATTTTATATTTATCTACATTGAACTCCATTTGTCATGTAGCTAGCCCATCAAAAGTGCAAATACTGCATTTTGCTTCATAGCAAAATATTTTTATTGTCCATTGAGGGACTCTGAAATAAAGAAAATACTGTAGCTGTGTGGGTTATATGCAGCTGCCTTCAGAAGTTGGATAATGGCTAACTGGAAAGCCATAGAAGGTCCTCCTACTGTAATCCCACCCCTAATGACCTCTCTCCCCAGATCTGCTGATTGAAAACTGAATATACTTTTTTACTTTTTTTTTTTTTTTCCCCTCTCTTCTGTAAACATTCTTTGTACTTCACGGATGTTTTATGTCTTCATTCAAGACTACCCAAGCTACTTGAGCTGGCTTTTACACAGCAGAGATACAGTTGATCATCTAATCCTTGGCACTGCCTTGCTGGCCCAACTTGGACCCCACTGGATTGAAGAGTCCAGGGACTACTTGTAATGTGACCCTCATGTACTGCGCTTTGCATGTAGTGCTCACCAGATACCTAGTGTTCTGGTTTTTATCCACAGAGCACTCTCCAGTGCCTGGTATGAACCATTCTCTGAAGACATGCGCTGTGAGTTAGCCGATGGAGGGAGCTAAGATATATGAGTGAGTGGTATTTGTGCTATAAGATCTGTAGGCCTGCGGCTATTTCCAGACCTGTGCATACTGTCAGTCACCTGGAAAGCGGTTTCCATTTTTAAAGCAGTGGTACAACCTCTGGTGTACCTAGGCCCTAGTGTCTCCCTATGTCACAGATATCTTGGCAAATGCTATGTCCACTATTATCTTTGCATTGGGTTCTTTCCAGACTTGTGGGTACTGGCCAGTTGATTGCAGAGCACTACTCAAAATTTGGAGCAATGGTGCAACCTTGTAGAAGCTTGTGTAGCCTAACATATCGTCCTGTGAAAACTTATCTCAGGTAATGATGAAGACATCCTAGCATGTTACCTACAGGCACTGACAGACCCGTGTGTTCTATTACCCAAAAGAGCATTTTTATTATTTGAAGCAGAAGTGCTACCTATGGTATACCCAGTCTCAGGTAATAACTTGCATAGTCTGATGTAATTTAATATGTCTCCTTTAGACATTTCACTTTGGGTACAATGACTAGGAGTTGCCATGGCAGAGTCATGGCACAGTTCTTATATGTCCAGATTTTTGAACATTGCCTCTGACTAGATACAGTTTTGTTCAAAAGTTTGCATATCCTGGCAGAAGTTGTGAAATTTTGACATTTATATTGAAAATATGACTGCTCATGCAAAAAAAAAAAAAAAAATATTTTATTTAAGGATGTGATCATATGAAGCCATATAAACGGCTTCATATGATCACATCCTTAAATAAAAGGGTTTTTTTTTGCATGAGCAGTCATATTTTCAATATAAATGTCAAAATCACAGAGTTTGGCTCCTTTTTAAATCATAACAATAACAGAATCACCTTAACATCCCAGATCAAAAGTTTACATTCCCTGCAATATTTGGCCTTGGTACAGACACACAAAGTGACACACACGGGTTAAAATGGCAATTAAAGTGGTTGTAAAGGGTCAAGGGTTTTTTTTTTGTTTTTTTTTTACCTTCATGCATTCTATGCATGAAGGTAAAAAGCCTCTGTGCAGCAGGCCCCCCCCCCCCCCCCCCCCCCCCCAATACTCACCTAAGCGTGATGTGCACTGCAGTCTTGGCTATCCTGGGACTTCTCCTCATTGGCTGAGACAGAAGTGGGAGCTATTGGCTCCCACTGCTGTCAATCACAGCCCGTGACCCAATGAGAAGAGGGGGTGGGGCCAAGCTGTGGCTCTGTGTGAATGAACACAGCAAGCTGCTGTAGGGGCACTCAACAGGGGAGGGGCCAGGAGAGCCTGCGAGGGACCTGAAAAGAGGATCTGGGCTGCTCTGTGCAAAACTACTGCGCACAGCACGTAAGTGTAGACATGTTTATTTAAAAAAGAATAAAGCCTTTAGAACCGCTTTAAATGTTTATTTCTAATGTCTGAGGGTTTTTAAATTGCAATTAGTGTGTTCGCTTTTACATGGATGCACTGAGCATGCTAGATACTGAACCATGGGATGCAGAAAAGAACTGTCAGAAGACCTATCTAACAAGGTAATGGAACTTTATAAAGATGGGAAAGGATATACAAAGATGTCCAAAGCATTGAATATACCAGTCAGTACAATCACTTATTAGGAAGTGGACAATTTGGGGATCTCTTGATTGGTATCTCGACTTGGTAGTCGAGGTCAGGTAGACCAAGAAAGATTGCAGCCACAACTACCAGAAGAAATGTTCAGGATACAAAGAAAAACCCACAGGTAACCTTAGGAGCAATACAGGTTCGTCTGGAACAAGACAGTATGGTTGTTTTGAAGGAGCATAATACGATGATACTTGAACCACAATGAGCTGCATGGTCACGTTTGACAGAAGCCTTTACTGTGCCAATGCTACAACAAAGACCAGTTACAATATGCCTGACAACACC